AAAGAGAAGTGTTCTCATTTCTTCTAATTTCTGAATGCATAAAAAAAAAAATTCAAAATGGTAATACAGCCTAGAAACTTTGTACATAGCAAAACAATTCAAAACTTCTAAACTTCAAATTATATAAATAACACGAATAAGATAAAATGATAACAATCTCAAATACAGCAAGGCCCAAAACAAAGTAACATATATCAGATACTTAAACGATTAAATCTCCATTTCAGCACAGAACCTAACATATATCAGCACTAGTTTTACTCATTATAACAGTCTCGAAGTCCACATACGAGCAAAGTAAAATCACATAACAAAGTAGACATTGATTCTTTTAAATTCATAAATAAAACACCGGAAGGAAATCTAATTTCAAACAAGAATTCGGTAGCACGAATGATATATATATCTATCATGCAATATATGAGAACGACCGAGTTAACGAGAGGATTCGAAGGAGTTACCCGTGTTCGGGAATCTTTGAGTTATTGGATGGGAAACGGTCTCGACAGCGGGTCGAACAATCGGCTTCGAAACTGGACGGTAACTTTTGACGGATGGGTCCCGGGCTGCTCGTGAACGGCTCGACGGTTAGCTTGTCGAACGGATGTGACAGACGGCCTACTCGTAGATGCTCTTGCAAGAAAAATATGGAGCAGCAACGATGAGATGGTGATGATGATGAACAGTGGTCGCGGGTTTTGAAAAAATAAAGCTAAGGAGAGAATAATTCCGAGAGATGTGAAAGAGAAGAAAGAAGATCTCTCTTATGATTCCCAATAAATGCTTGTTAATGGAAATAAAAATTGATTATTCTTCTTGCTTCACTACTATGAAACCAACGAGATATATTGAGGAAGAAGAAATAGTGGAGCCGTTGATTCAAATAGAAGAGAAAAGAATTTGACGTTAAAATTTTCCAACATAAAGAGTATTGAAGCCCATGATAATGATAGTAATAAATCTGAATTTCCTCCCCATAATTCATGTTCAATGCTTGGTAAATGAGAATTAAAAGGCTTTATCATGTTAGGGGTTTTCAAAATTAAAATTTCCATTCAAACATAAATAATTCAAATGCCATGCAAGCAAGTGAATTGGGAAAAGGGCTGCCGTTTGGGTATTTTATCCGCCTACAGGTGCGGGTTGGGCCTCCTTTGGGTGGTTCG